AAGTAATTTATTTTTTGTTTAATAATATAATTTCTATAAATATAATAATTAAATATTATGTTAAAATTCAATAATTATCCTAGTTATATTTTTATTTTTAATATTTAAAATAAGATATTTATCTTGTATTTGATTATGTTTATTTGCAGTTAGTTACACGAATTGAAAAATAAAACTTTAATAAGTTGTACTTACGCACAATTTACTTGTAATATTGAATTCTTAAGTAATATACATCAATACACGATACTTCATGCATAGAACATTATTTTTAATAGTTTTTTTATCAAATGTTTTATAATATAATATAGATACGATTTTTTTACATATTATATAATTACTTTTAAATCAAAATTATGTAATAAGTTGTGTCATAAAATAACTGGTATAAAGGACATTTTAACGTCATAACACATATATTATATATATCTGGTGATTTTTGTTTGTTTTTTATTAAACGATATTGTTGATCTATCGACATCTAAAACATTTATTTAATAATATTATATTCCCGTATTTTTTTATTTATATAAAATATTATCTTTCATTATTTAAAAACCCAAATTATTTTAATATTATCATCGTTACCCGACATGATATTTAATTTTGTGTATGTTTGTTTAATTTTAATCATATGTGAGATAATCTATACCATATTTATAGATTTGGGATCACGTAAGACAAGCCTATTTTCGTAAGACCATATTTTTATACTTGAATTTAACAGCAAAATATTGTGAAGACAACATTCACAATGTTTTTCTTGGTCTTCTAAGGAGATTAGGAATTCAAACTTCACCAAAGGTGAGTAGAGTGTGCGAGTTTATTTGTTGCATTTGTCGTATATAAATATTATATCTATACTATATTATAAAGTATTTGACAAAAACTCTTAAAAACTACTTTTTAAACATAAAGTACTGTTTATTAATGCATGTTACTTAAAACTTAAAACTACAAGTAGATTGTGCGTAAGTATAACTTATTAAAGCTTTATATCTGAATTCGTGTAACTAATTGCAGATAAACATAATCAATTACATGATAAACATCTTATTTTAAATATAAAATATATATAATATAATTAGGATAATCATTGAATTCTAACAGAATACTTAATTATTAATATTATAAAATGTTATATTATTAAACCAATAATAAATTATTTTATTATTAAACCTAAATTAAATTATAATAAAAAAAATTAAAGAAATTATATAAAAAAATAAAAACTTTTAAATAGTTGATTTAATATTAACATTGATATATTTTTTTTAAATTTTTATGGTATCTTCAAAAATAAAATCATTATTGTTTTCTTAAAAACACATAAAATCGTATTATAACATTGACATAGACAAAGAATAATATAGAACATTAAAATCGATATGTATCTTGCTGCATTACGCAAGTATCCTTCTAGTACTTCAAAAAAAAAAACAAGAATGCAAATAACAACCCATTTTTTATATATTTTATTAATTTTGTAATAATTATAATATTCTTCCATGAAGATAACTCTTATATGATTTAATTGTGGCTCGTAAATTTTAATTAAATTAATATCATAATTGTTCAACCAAACCAAAAAATCCAAATGAATGGTCAAAGAGGCAGGTTGACTTGAGTTATATTAAAGTAATCCGAAGCAACTCTTACAGTGAACACTACCATCCACTTTCCCGGTGCGTGTAATGCACGTACGGCTAGATTCTCCGTTAGACCAACGAAAGGGCCGATAAAGGAGCGTGAATGGTAGAACATTTTAACTCCGTGTGGGTGTGAAACATGGAGTTGTTTTCAATGCGTGTGGATCTCGTTCACACGTGTGGATTCTTTTTTTGGGATGTAAGTGTGCAAATGATGACTTATTACTGCTGATCTCCTGTAGCTTATCCCCACCGGTAGTAGGTGGAGAGGAATAATGGGCCGACTTAGTTACAACCAGTGGGTCACACTCTCCAGGGCCCAAGCCCAGTAGAGAATAGGAAGATAATTGCATTCTAAATATTATTTGTCAGTTGCTGAATGGTTTGATGTAAGATGATTAAGTGGTAAGAATAATTAAAAAAACTCTTATGATATAGTACAAAATAAACTAAGGGGACGTCTACCTACACACTTACGTGGTAAACACTTAACGGTAAGATTCAACTCTATCACGCACTTACCGAGTAAGATTTTAGTCTAGCAAAACGACATCGTATGTAATAATTTACCTGGTAAACGCTAACCGTGGTAAAAGTTATCGCCATTACTTACCAGGTAAAACTCTCAATTTTTGTCTTCGCTCTTACCATGTAAGATTCATGGTATTTGTCATATTCATCCGGTAAGAAAATATGATTTGTCAAAGACCTTCCAGCCTAGTGGTAAAGGCTTGGGCATGACATAGTCATGAATCCGAGTTCGAGCCCTGGGAGGGGAGTGTTGACGACATTTAAGTGGGGCCATGTTTAGCCTCCAAAATTGCCGGGGATTAGTCGGGCTTTGGCCCCGACACCCTTACAAAAGAAAATATGATTTTGTAAGCGTTGGCCCAAGTAAGAACTTTGTAAACGGTCCCTAAGTTGTTTGGCAATTGTTCAGAATGAAAGTAAAACTCTGACTGATTTAGGGATGGCCAAAATACAAAATCATTTAGAAGGTTTTACAATTATTAAGAGACAAACTTTTCTTTTGCCACACAAGATTCACTTCTTAACAATTTAAAGACTGCTAATACAAAAAAGTTAATTACCTAAAACCAAAATGAATTGAATTTAATACAAAAAAAGACAACATCATATAAAAATTAATTACCTAAAACCAAAAAAAATCAATTTAATACAAAAAAAAAAAAATTAAAGTCACATGTACCAAAATATATTGAGTAATATAAAATCATATCGAGTAATATACAAAACTTATCGAATAACTGTATTTTGATTTGACATCCAAAATATTACATATTAACATCCAAAAAATATCAATTTTAGATTATAAACCTAGTTATGAAATAAGAAATTATGAATTACCGCTTTAATTGAAATAAATAATGTATATGTATATATATATACATATAATTTATTAATTAATATATATAACAGGTACGGGCGGGGCATACTCGTCCCCGTCCCCATCCCCGGTTTTAGACAAACGAGGATTCCCGTCCCAAACCGGGGCGGGTGGACTGGGTTTCCGGATGGGTCGGGGGCCATTCCCATGACTACATTTGGAGATTTCTATATTTTCTCTATTTTAGCATATAAAGAGAGTAGTTGTTGAAACAAAAAAATTGCTAAAATTTCACATTTCTCCATAGTTGTTGGAGGTGCTCTTATATGTCATGTTAGAGCATTTTCAACAGATGTACTATCATTCTTTTCTTTTTTAAAATTTGCAGATTTTTG